ACACACACACACACTAACTCATTTACTACCAAACTGTTCTTTATAGACTGACATAAAAACACGCCCCTCAGGTTTATCACTCAGTGCAAATGACTTGTTAAACCTTGACTAAACCTACAGTCAGACCTATAAACACCATTTCCCCCCGAGTTAAATTTTGATCAAAGTTGTTGACCTTTGACCTGCAGATACAGTGGGAATCACTGAAGATTTTATTCAAAAGTCTCTCTCCCGATGTAACCGAGCCGTTCTGGCTCGTCATGATACTCCGTGTTGATACGGTGTGACCTCAGGTCGTGTGTTGACGTTTGTGTTTGTGTCTCAGCCCCTCCAGACCTGTGGACAACGCCAACGACCCCATGCTGCTCTCCTCGTCCTCACCGCAGTCCTCCAAACGGTAATGAGTTCATATTTAATATTATTCAACCTCTGCATCCCATAATGACATATTTACATTGACTACAGTGAATATTCTTTTTCTCCTTTTTTACCGTTTCTTTTGTTTTGTTTTTTTGTGCAGTTTGGCAGCCGCTCAACGTATGAACGAGGAACACGCTCTGATCGCTGCGTATGTGAATCGCCTCCAGAGCAGCCCACGGTAAGAGGCAGCAGGGGGCGCTGACATCAGGGGAATAAGGGGCAGAAACTGAATTTAAAATGCCACTCATCCTACCAGTGTGTTCAGGAAGGAGGAAGATGAGAGTTTTTGTTTGAATTAATATTTTATTTCGTGTGTTGTTAGCATGGACAGTCCCAGCAGACAAGACGAGGAGCACAAACTGATCGCCCGCTACACCTCCAGACTGGCAGAGACCGACGGCTCAGGGGTGAGTCTTCAACAACCGTCTGCTTTAATATATGGTTCATGAACAACGTATATAAAACATACGGATTAGCTGTTAATGGATACAGATTATCAGCCGACTCTTAGATTATATCTAACCTTCAACAACTCCAGGTTAAGAACGTGATGAAATAACAACACACACTGTTGAGTTCACAGTTGAATCTGACGTCTGAGTGTGTTTTCAATGTTTTTTTTTAGGTGATACCGAACCGCAGCATCAACTTTGATGTGAACAAACAGAAGAGGGAGCTCATCGCTCAGCTGGAGTGCAAAAACAGGTATAAATGTGTGAAGAGAAGGAGAGACGTGTGGTGTGATGTAAGTGTTAGTTTCTGTTTAATAATATGCTGTATATAAAGGAGACTTTTCTTAATATATTTGCCTTTTAGCCACACTTTACAAAATGATTAGCTCTGTAAAAAAAAAAAAAACCCTCCATTTTTAAATTGCCTTTATAGAGAATTACTTTGTGTCTTCACCACTGTCTAATTAGGTCACATTTATTGAGACATTTATTATGAATATATTCTTATATTTCTCTTGTTTTGAGTCTATAAAATACAGTTTTGTTGTTTATTCTTCAATTCTTCAGCTTCACATTTTTTCGGAGCACAATAACTTTGTGATTTAGTTTTTCCAAACCTGGCATGACATTCCTGCATGCCTGTTAAAAGGACTGCATAAACAGTGCAGTCCACACCAGACACAGATGAGCAGTATCCGTGCAGCATAGTTGTATTTTGTTATTTATTTTCCAGGGAGATCTTGGCCGAGATCAAACGTCTGCGCACCGAGCACGACGCGGCGTGCCAGCTGAGTCCGGAGAAAGGCAGCACCAACCCCACCCTGCTGGCCGAGCTCCGCCTGCTCAGGTAAACACAGAGGAACTTCATCTTTGCCTTTGTCCTTGTTTTTAACATTTCTAATTTGAACTGAAACATCCACAGAGTTGTGTTGATGCTCAGACATCAGGTTCTTACGGCTCAGATCTTCATTTATTCACTGTGTTGTTGTTTACTGCGGCGTCAGATCTGGCGGGAGAAGTGCTGCGTTGCTTTGCAGCATGAAGCGAGCTCTGACAATGACAGATGGCAGAGGCAGATGGTGGAATTTGTGAAAGAATTACTAATGTAAAAATAATCATTAGCATGTTTACGCTGTTTGATGAAAACACAACAAGAAACAGAAGAAACCCCAAGAGTGAAAAAATATATATTTATGTGTTTACACCGCAGTAAATAAATGAATAAAATCCACTTACTTTTTAAATATATACAGAGGGGTCTCAACACTACCACTGGAGGGCGCCAGACTCACATTTTCATATATACCATTGCGTTAAGCTTTACATTTTTGAAACCTGAGTTTTCCCACTGGAGTTGAATTTGTCAATTTTTTTCACTAAATATAGTGATTTAAAAATCTATATATTCTTAAATACATTTAAATTTAACCTCACAATTCTCTCTCTGTACATGACATGACATTTTATTTATTATTTTTATTAGAGTGAGGCTGACAATGATGTAGGATTGAGTTAAGTTTAGTGACAGCAAAGCCTTTGCTGGTTGGTTAATTATTTCAATTTAAAAACCAAAAATTAAATTTTAAAATGAACTGAGATGGTCTGTTTTGTATTCTGCCTACACTGCCCCCCCCGTACCCCCTGCTGGAGGATCTCTGACTTGTGCTCCTCCTGAGATCCTTTTTTTCTTCATTCTCACTGAGACATAAGTGTCTGTACATGGAGACGGGAGACGGTGTCTAGTCCAGTGTGTGTAACACGTGAACGGGATTTGATTTAAAAAAAAAAAAGTTAATTATCTTTTATTAAACGGACTGTGTGTGTGTGTGTGTGTGTGTGTGTGTGTGTTGCAGACAGAGGAAAGACGAGCTGGAGCAGAGGATGTCGTCTCTACAAGAGAGCAGGAGGGAACTGATGGTGCAGCTGGAGGGACTGATGAAGCTGCTGAAGGTGACACATACACATACTGACACACACACTGTTGTCTTCACTCTACTGTGTTGTTGTCACACCTTAGAGGCCAAAGCTTTCCTTTCATTTATTCCGTCTCTTTCCATTTACCTGCAGTAACCAGCTTCTCTCACCCCCTGAAGCCCTCCCTCCCTCACCCCCTGAAGCCCTCTCTCCCTCCCTCCCCCCCCCCCCCCCCCCCCCCCCCCCCCCCCCCCCCCCNNTTTCTCCCCCCCTTTTTCCTCACAACTTCTCCACCCTGTGGCCCTTTTAGGACGAGGAGCAACGACAGGCAGTAAGTTCCCCTCTGTTGTGTCTGAGCCTTTCACTTGTGGATATTAAACATTCTTCCTCTGTTAAAGAAGCCTCTGTCTCAGCTTCATGGTGAAAATGTCAGCTGTCAGTTGTAATCACAACAAGTGAACTGAACACCCAGGTGATGACGGATGAAGTGTAACCTCCCTCTGAAATGCACCTTCTAGGCGCAGGCCGCTGGATCTTCTCACGCCTCTCCATCTCGACCCAGTCCATCCACGGTCCGCACTGTGTCTCCGCAGGCACACATGTACCTGCCTCAGGACTCCCTGGCAGGGGTGGGTGGTGACGTACAGGAGGCCTTTGCTCAAGGTAAGAGGGATTTGAAGTAAATGGAGCGTAGATTTTTCCTCCGGCACTCGGTCTCTACATTGGTGGGGGTTCGAGTCCCTCTGTCTTCAGGTTCACAAGATTTAAACCAAATTCAAAAAGCAGTGATTACTGAAACTCAAGGGACCAGAGATCATCTAATTTCAGGTTACAGTGCCCTCTGTTGGAAGTCATTGAAGTGAATCTTTAAAGTGTGACTTCTCTCCTCTGGCCCAGGTTCCAGGAGGAACCTCAGAAATGACCTCCTTGTTGCCGCAGACTCCATCACCAACACTGTGTCGTCACTGGTCAAAGAGCTCCACTCAGGTATAGTCACCACCAGTGCTGTCTGTTGTCACTGATGCTAATAGTCGTCAGTTGTTGCCACGGTGTAACTTGAATTCCTCTCGTCTTTCTGAGCAGATGAAGGTCGGGAGGAAGAGGAGCGATTGTTGAACGGGAAGGACAGAGGTAAGTGAGGTAATCTGAGCGGAAAGAACGCAAACGATGAAGCTTCAAACCGAGGCTTTGTTAACATTTTTTTTTAAAACTGAGGTTCTCAAAGTGGGGAGCGGGGACCCTCCAGGAGGCACCCAGCTATTGCTTGGCAGGAAACTAACATTTTTAGCAATTCTTTTAGCCATCTGAAGAGGGGGGCGTTGTCAAAAAAGTTTAGGAAACTTTTCACGTACTAAATTAACACAATCATACAGTGTGTACAAAATACAGTGTCAGTAGTGTGGTCGTCTACAGAGAAGACAACAATCGTCCTCTGTTTTTTAACTGGTCATATGAAAAAAAAAAAAGCTGAGACCATGAAAACTTTTGTAAAAAGCCCAAAATAGGAGTGATCTCATGACAGTGAAAGTTCCTCTAAAATTACAACCATGTGACTTTAAATCTGAGCCGTAATTGTTGACTATGACAGAAGAAGTCTTTATTTACTGTAGTGTTTTATTCAACGTTATTTAACCCAACATTTCAAGTCAACTTTGATGGTGAAAAATGCCAACGTAGGACCAGGTTCTCGTCGTGGAGGCTTCCAGACGGCGGCCCCTCTCCTCCAGCTCTCCAGGGCATGCATGAACTCATTCTGGGATTAGGATATAAACTCCCTCTCTCCCCCCCTACTGGAGACACAGGTCAAAGTGTTTGATACACTTATGGAAATAAGAGTTTTATAATAAGAGGTCATTTAGACAAGCAGTAAACGCGTCTCCAGTGCCAAGAGCTTTACTGTCAGCACGTCTGTGCAGAGAAACCAGCCTCACATTTAGTTCATCGAAGTACTTAGTTCGCTATTACTGAAAAAGTAGAAGAAAAATCCAGCTGGATTGAAGTTGGATGAGGTACAAAAATATAATTTTACGCCACAGAGACTCCCTGTCTTTCGCTCGACTTCTGCTTCTAACTTCGAATGCTGCCCTTCAGCTGCATGTTTGTGTCCTCGCTGCCACGTGACGGCCGTCATTAACGCGTCGTCTCACACTCCTGATTAACGGAGCTCCTCCACTTCCTGGTCCGCTCTGTTAGATACTAACCTGCTAACACGCCGGCCGACCCACAGGGAGACAGACCTGAGGCCAGACGTGGTCCATCGTGCGTGACCCACACAGTTAAGTCCCAACATTTACAGACTGTTCTTGGTGAATGTCAGCACCTGTCCAACGCCGTCCTCTGTCCGTTTCTCTGTGTTACGGCAGAATCTGTTGCACTTCAGTTCATTTGGAGACATGTTTTTCTCTCTCACTCCCTGACCACCGTCTCCTCCTCTCTTCAGCAGGTTAAAGTGATGGAAACAGAAGAGAGACACAACAAGAGTAAGACTTTGTTTTTCACTCTAATCACTGACGATTTTCAAACGTTATCGTTTATTTATATCCTGTGCTATGTAGAATGGTGTATTATTAAAACTGGAGCTGACAAACTAATTAATCTCAGAGTTGTTGTGAATAATCAGGAAAACTAAGCTTTCCCATAAATGATGTGAAAATAATTATTCTGTATATTTTTGTACATACTGTAGCAATGGTTTCACATCTGTTTTCATGTTGTTTTGCGAATGTGTTAAAACGCCTTAAAAACTTGATCTGAATAAATTCAACAATTAATTCTAATCAAGGGTTTGCTAAAAAAAAAAAAAACTTGCAGCTTCTCTGGTTGTTTTTCCTCTTTTTACAAAAGCTAAAGATAAAGACTGAAATGGTCTAAATGGTCAGTAATAAAATAAAACATCAAATACTTTCTCCGTCCTCCAGGTTGAGCGGTCACCGCGGCCAATCACGTCAGTCCTTCCAGGGATTTGAAAAAATATCTTCTCTGCGATCTTCATTTCAACCAGTGGGGGCTCAGAAGCTCCACTGCCAATCAACCAATCACGATGCTGGACACCAAATGACCCCACGGGGGTCCCCTACTGATGTATAGCTGTGATTCTGTGTGTGTGTGTGTGTGTCCCGTCACTGTTTGTTGTGATTTGACAGCTGCAGAGCTTGAGCGCGGACACTGATAACCTACTGATTTGTACTGTAGCTCATGTTTGCGCTCTGAGTTTTATTGGTTAGTTTTTTTTTTTTCGGCTGGTTTGAGTAAGTCTAAGAGAGATGATGTGAAGAGAGGAAGAAAAGTAGGTTTGAGGAAGGATTTGTGAAGGTTGTGAAAAAGTGTTGAATTTCCAGGAACAGGATGGAGGAAACAGGAAGTGAATGACGAGGGGGAAAAGGAAAGATAAAGACGTTGAGGTGTTAAAGTTTCAGCACTGTGTGCTCTGTATTTATTCATCTGTTCTGATTGGCTTTGGCTGTTTGAGTGGGTCAGTGTGAGCCAGTCTGCTCAGACAATAAGCTTTAATGGGAAGTGATACCCCGCCGCCGCCGCCTTCCTCCTGCAGGAGTCACAAGTTAAAAAGCCCTGGTCCTGGACCAGGTTCTTGTCATGGTGCTGAGAGCAGCTCAGGTTTGGTCCCAGTCTCTCTGTGGTTTCCTGGTGCTGCTGTGAGACAATAGATGAAGAGGACATATTTGATTACTCTGTGTGTGTGTGTGTGTATATGTGTGTGCAGCCCCAGTGGTGAAATAACTGACGCTGCAGCCGACAGTTATCGTCTGTCCGTATCTCTGGTCTGGACTTCGTTATTCAGACCTCAAAAAAAAAAGTGACAAATGTTTTGAATTGTTGTCGATCCCTAAACCAAAGATGTTTCTCTAAGTCACGTGGAGCAGCAGCAGTTGGATTTATTATTATTATTATTATTATTTGTTTTATTTATTATTTACTAGTTTAAAGACAGATGCCTGCATACTGAGTTTTTGAGTCGGTGTGACTTTTTTTTTTTTTTCTAACTTATAGTTTAGAAAAATTGACTTTTGAAAATCCACACATTTTCACACATTGATGTCAATACATTTTTATACATCCGTACACACAAGCCATATGTTAAAAAAAAACTGTAAAAAAAACATGTATCCCCTTAAGAGAGGGTGAGCTCTGTGTTGTCAGCATACTGACTACATTACCCATAATCCTCCAGAGCATAGCAACTCATGGAAGACGTAGCGTAGTTGAAATGCATCCATGTTCTGTTCAGTCAGGTGAATTACCGTACAGCACCAAAACAAAGCCGCACATTTGACACACTGTGAGTGTGAACACACACACAAATGTGGCTTATAGTCTGTCATTGGTGCAGAGATGATGTGTGTGTGTGTGTGTGTGTGTTTACACACATTGTTGTAGAGGTTAAACACGGTGCAGTTTTATTTTTCGTGAATTACCATAATTCAGTTGTGCATGGCTTTGATTTCAGAATCTAAATCTGAGTTTAGCGTCTTTTAGAAGCAGCGTCAGGTTGACGTCAGACTTTTTTTGTTTTGGCTCTTTTACTGCTGTTTGATCGCACTTGTTTGTTGAAGCTAAAGTGAAATGAAGCTCGGTGGGATGTCGGACCACCTCTGACACCAGCCTCTAATACCATAGACTTATGCTATCGCTCTGTTCTGGGGCTGAAGCTACTGCTTGTTTTTCTAAAACAAAAAAAAAACATAAAAAAATTATTATATTATTGATTAAATCAATTGTTTTATGTCATTAAATGATGAAAGCTGCCACCGGAATTAACACGTGAAGCTAGAGAATAATTAAAGTCATTCAAACTGATTGATCAATGATCAGTGTAGCTATTTATATTAATTTGTTGAAGCTGATTATTGTTGATTGATTAATCGTTAACTGCTATTTAACAGCAAGCCTCCATGACCCAAAGTGATTTTTGTTAAACCTGTTACAAAGTGTGAGACATTCAACACCAACGACGTTGTCGATACCTTTTTGGCCGTTTGTGGTTTTTCCTTGTGTGCCTATTGAAGTATGTTGTATTTTTTTTTTCTCTCTAATGTACATTTCTGGAACCTGGATGTGTTTGTTTGCCCTGCTCTCTCTCTCTCTCTCTCTCTCTCTCTCTCTGTCTGTCTGACCGACTACTCGCAACTGGAACGTGATAATTTCAGTCCATCTGTGATTGACAGAGTGTTCGTGTTAGTTTTGAAGGTCCCATCTGTGTGTGTGTGCGTGTATGTGTGCGTGTATGTGGGTATGTGAAGGAGAGAAATCAAGACTGACAGGACAAACGTGTCCAGACACGCAACTGTAAACACCAACGCCAGCTCTGAAACCGGCCCGAGCCGACGGTGTGAGTGAGACGTGTGGATCAACTGCAATAAATAATATTTAACATCTGTGTCTGTGACCTCGTGGACTCTTTGTCTTGATACTTCAAACGCAGCACGCTTGGTGGGTTCATGTGTCAAAGAGTTGTCTTTAAATATAGTCGTCGGCTCACAAATACACCGGTTAGCCCACGCGTAGCTAAAAACATTAGCCTCAGAGATGGATAAAGCTAGCCCCCAAAAAACAGCTTCAAATGAAGCTAAGAGAATACAGGAAGTCGGATTCATTTGCCCCAGAAGTTAAGTGGAAAAACTCAAGGCCTGCTGGCCGAACGTGGCCCGCCACCTCATTTTATTCGGCCCACCAGATCTGAACATGCATGTGTTTGTTGAATAACTGTTTATGTTTTGATTCCTTCGTGCCAAGCTAATGTTCAGTGACTAAACATTAGCTTACATTAGCTTGGCACGAAGGAATCAAAACATAAAGAATGAGGTGACTTAGCCTAAAAAAAATGTTGAAAATGAGTAGCAAAGGTAAAGCAACATTTGAGGAAGAAAATGCTAAATAATAACCTCAAAGATAATGCTAGCTAATCACTAGCGCCGTTTTATTTGTTAGCCAACACCATAGATGCAAGTATCCCCAAAAATTCCGTCAAATGTCCTTACACTAAAACGTCTAAAAGGCCTCTCAACCTTTCATCGTCTCACTTTCATGTTCCGACGTCCAGACGTTTGTCCCTGATTTATACCCTCATTAGTGTGGATGAGCAGTTCTCACTTTTCCCATGAGCCTCCTCCGCAGGTCACGGCTCTGTTGTGCGGGTGTGTGTATATACAAGGTGGGGGTGTGAACTCCAGACTGAATGAAGCTCATTCAGGTCGTCTGTGGCTCTTTGACCTCACTGACTGCTATAAATAACAGCCCACTGTCGACCCCCCCCCCCCCCCTCCCCCCCCCCCCCCCACCCACGCGGTGTCTGC